AACAGTGTCTTCCAATGTTCCATGGAGAAAGACATTGGAAATATCTAGATTGTTTGATTTGGCATGATTTATTTAAAGGAGAGCTCTTATTGTGGGGATAGTTGTAATTGGATTGGACATTTCTGCATTATTGATTCTATATTTTTGGGTGTCACCTTGCACAACCAACTTGGCTGTGTGACGAGCAAGGGTTCCATTTGAGTGAAGTCTTGTTTTAAAGTTCGATTTGCATCCCAAGTTAAGGTGGTTGGAATGTTGGAGTGACTGACTTCCACATCCCCAATTGCTGGAGAGTCATGAACTCATCAGACATGGCTTTTCGCCAGTCAGAACATTTGACAACTTAGTGTAGTTTGTCGGGCCAGGAGGGATTTGATTGCTGGTATTCAGATTGAGAATGATTTTGGATTTGAGATTGCATAGTTTGGATTTTGTTATCATAGGATGTGGAATGAGAGGGATGGAATGGCGGTTGTTTGTTGTTGGAGTGTGGATTTTCTTTGGGAAGATTAAGTGGGAGTATCAATTGTATGTAATAAAAAGAAATGGAAATGTGATTGTAGGTAATGGATTACCTAAATGAGCTCTGATATCATGTGTAAAGCGATGCAGTATGCAGTTTTAGCGTTTCCTAAAATAACTTGACAACAATACTTTTTTATATTCAACAATGCATATTTATATCAACTTTCATTCGTATCTATTTTTGTACAAGGAGGGTGTATATATAGTATTTGTGAGTGTGATGATGAGAGGTTAAAATTTTCTATGGTTGTTATGCCTAGGGCAGTGGGGGCCATTAGACCATGCGGAGATTATAACCGAATGTGTATTGTATAGCTCAATGTGTTTTGTCACATCCATGGATGAATGAGCAGACAGAGTTGGTGAATCAAACATAACCCATATGTTAGGAAGTCCAAATTTATGACATCCAAAGATTTGGGATGTTGATTTTTCATTCATGCACTTATTAATGCCATCCATGGATTAACATAAAAGCCAACTTTTTTGGTGTGTTTGGAGTGCTTGTTGTAGAGCCATCTTGGCTTGGAAATGTAGTGACCGTGAAGATTTCCGGAGGAAATTTAAGAGTTCCACTAGGCGGAAGAAACTTGAAGAATTCACAGGAAAAGTGCAAGGTTGCAATGATAAAACATAGGATCAAATGGACTTACGAATCCTTTAGGAAATTTACAAGCTTCATTTGGCAAGCACAATCCTTCTTCAAGGTGTTCACTATGTTTTGGAAGTTTGTTTTCTCTGACAAACATAAGGCCAATTGCTCTTATGATTTGTTAAAGCGAGCACGATAATTCCTGTAGGGTATTCATGAGATCCATTAGGAGGCGGAAAAAAATGGAAGAAGGCATAAGAAAGGTATTAGTCTCACCATGAAAATCATGTGACCGAGTATATGCACATAGGGATTGATAAACTAGAAGACGAAGGACGAGAGCACATTTGTCATGGCCAATTCCAAACTCTACAAAGATTGGTCAAAAATGTTTTTTGGTTAGATCTGTCTTCCCATATGAGGGCCCACTTTGTTTTCAGTGCAATGAATTTGAAGGTATTTAATTATCACTACTAGATGATAGAGGAACACAAGATGGAGGCCGCCAATAAAGAAACGCTATTCTCTTTGAAAACAATTAGGTTGGACCCATATGAAGTAGTCCATCCTTGTATTTTTGAGTTGGTTTTCTAGAATTTAGGAAATTTAGGCTTAGAATTCAAATATTTAGGAGATATTCTCTTCTTGGTTCCTACATTATTTAAAAATTTTAATTTTTGTATTACACATATGATCTATTTGAAGAAATAAAAAATTGAGTTTTAATTCTAGATTTGAGTTTTCTTCTTCAATCCATCCTCTTACTTTATCTCTCTCTCTCCAGTTTTTTAAGGCTAAAGGTAGCAACCATCTACCTCTTTCCATCTTTCTATTCAGAATTTAGATTTAGTAGACCGGACAACAAATTACAGCCATTTCAAGGGAAACTGTAGCAAGAGCGAGAGACTAGAAGGAATAACATCATCCATGGGCCTGTCCATAGTTTCCTACCATTCTTGTATTCAGGATACTAGGATTATTTAACCACCCTTTGGTTGCTTGATTCCTCACGTTTTGGATCAATGCCTTTCATTACATTTTAGGAAGCTTTACATACATACCACTCAAATCCAATGTATTTCATATCTAACACCTATGCTTCAATTTTTACATATATGCCACCTTTATCTATGCTGGGAATGGTGTATTTCTCTTTTTAAAAGCTAAACTAGTGGTATTTTTGTTGTGATATGAAAGATTTGGGTGGTATAAATGTAAGAAGTAAAGTCTAGGCGTTGGATATGTAAATATATAGGAATTTGGTGGTATGTGCATTTTAATGCAGGTAGATTGAAATTGACCAAATCATGAGTGTGTTTGCTATAGATCATGTGCACCGCATATTTCTCTCAAGTTTATCCCAAATTTGGAACAGACCGACACCACTTTTTCTTAAATTCTCACCAAATCTGGACAAAATTTTGCATGACGAACATGTTTGATATGTGAATGATAATCGCTAGCATATAACAAACAACATCCAATACGAAACTAAATATAATATTTCCACATGCTTTCGTGTGGTGCCCACAACTTAACATGCAAAATTCGCACTCTATGCTTAAAAGAATTTGAACTTGAAGAATAATTGTGTTCTGCCGTCACACCATAAATCTTCAATTCCACATTCTCGTTACAAGTAAATTATCTTCTGATCATTTTTGCTAAATTAAGCCAACTAGACTACTCAGATCTATCTAAAAATAAGTTTTAGAGCAAATTTATGCAACAAATATTTCTTATATATATATATTTTAATTATATTAAATATTGGGCAAAAAAATTCCCACGTCCCCAATTGCTGGAGAGCCATGAACTCATGAGACATGGATTTTCACAATTAGAGTCATTGTCAGCATGTGTGTAGGCTGTCGGGTCAGGAGGGATTTTAGTGCAAGTATTTAGATTGAGGATGATTTTGGGTTTGAGATTGCATGTTTTGAATTTTGTTATCGTAGGATTTGGAATGGGAGGGATGGAGCGGATGTTTGTTGTAGGAATGTGGATTTTCCTTGCGAAGATTAAGACAGGATCCGTTGTTTGTAGTAAGAGAAATAGAAATGTGATTGTAGGTAATGGAGTACCTCAATGAGCTCTGATATCATGTGAAAAGCTATGCAGTAGGCAGCTTTAGTTTTTCCTTAAATAACTTGATAACAATACTTTTCTGTTTTCAACAATGAATATTAACATAATCTATATGTTAAGAAGTCAAAATTTATAACATCCAAACATTTGGGATGATGATTTTCAATACATGCACTTTTTCCTTGCTAATGTCATTCGGGGGGATTAACATAAAAGCTACCTTTTGTCGTGTGTTTGGAGTGCCTGTTTTAGTGCCCTTTTGGCTTGGAAATGTCATGAGGATGACGATTCCTGGAGGAAATTTAGGAGTTATAATTGTTAGTGTGGAGCCCGGTTAAAAAAAATAAAAATAATAAAATAAAAACTGTTACCCGTTCCCGCCTCTTCAGTTCGCAAAACAGGAAAGTCGTGCACTAAGTCTCTCTATTGCGAAAAATAGAAAGCCACTGTCTCTCTACTTCATGAACGCCTCCCGCTATTCAGTTTTCTTCGCTGGTGAAAAAGCTTCTACGACAAAAAGGAAGATAAGTGCTCTTTCTTGATTCCTTGGTGTGTGAGTGGTTCAAACGAGAGGAGGAATCGCAAGCTTCCGCTCTCTTGGTGTTCTCCTGTAGGGTGGCTCACTGATAAAAGGAAAAATGACTTCTTCTTGGTGATTTGTGGCAAAAGAGAAATAAGTTTTTTCTCTTGTACATTTTTCTTTTTCTTCGGTGTATCTATCTCGGTGTAGAGCGGTGTAGAGTGAGAAGAGTGAAGAAGTGAGAGAAAGATATTTCTGTTGTAATTGTTGAAGCGATTGACTGGTGTAAATTTCTCAATTAATAAAATTCTCTGCAACTCCATGGATGTAGGCAAAAATTTGCTGAACTACGTAAATCTGTGTGTTCTTTTCTGGTGTGAATTTTTTTTGTTTTATTTTTCGCTTCGTCGTCGATCGTTCTATTCTATATACCACGCAACAATAATAAGTGAAAGAAACTCTGAAGAATTCACGGGAAAAGTGCAAGGATCGCAGTGATAAACATAGGATCAAATGAACTTACAAATCCTTTCAGAAATTTACAAGATTCATGTGGCAAGCACATTTTTTCTCGAAGGGGATCTCTATGTTTTGCTAGTTTGTTTTCTCTGGCAAACATTAGACCAAGTGCTCTTATGAATTGTTATAGTGAGCACATAATTCTTGGAGAGTATTTATGAGATCCACTAGGAGGCGGGAAAAAAATTGGAAGAAGACATAAGAAAAGTTTCAAGTCTCGCCATGAAATTCATGCGACCGAGCATATACACATAGGGATTGATAACTATAAGACAAAGGACGAGAGCATAAGTTCATTTGTCGCGGCAAATTCCAAATTCTACAAAGACTGGTGAAATTGGTTTTGGTTAGATCTGGCTAACTTGTTATCAGTGCAATGAATTTGAAGGTATTTAATCATCATTACTAGATGATAGAGGAACACAGGACGGTGGCTGACCCAATTGAGGAAGGCTATTCTCTTTGAAAACAATTAGATTGGACCCATATTTCGCTTTTTAGAAGTTAAAATAGTGATATTTTTGGTGTGATATGAAAATTTTGTGTGGTATAAATGTACATGGTAAAATTTAGGTGTTAGATATGTAAATACATAAGAATTGAATGGTTTGCATGTAAATGCCTTTTTTTAGAGTTTGAGCCTTTTTTGATTATTATCTCTCAAACTTGAAGATACTTTAGTTCAATAAGTCTAGATTTGACCTTTGATCGTGTTATAATCCATGAATTTGCTAAAACAATATTTCTATGCCATAGGTATCACTGATGCTGGAATGGTAACAGTTGGCAACGGTCTACCATGTCTTCAGTCCTTAGATGTTTCTGACTGCAAAAAACTGACTGACAAGGGACTGGTCCCCATCGTCAACGGATGCCGCAATCTTTTCAAACTACGGCTCGTGGGTTGCAGAGCCATCACTGACGAATTGCTTCCGGCTCTCTCTCACAACTGTCATCATCTCGAAGAGCTCGACTTAGCCGGCTGTTCGAAAATAACAGACATCGGAATCATGGGGCTGGTCGACGGCTGCCGCCAGATTAAGTGCCTCGATGTCAGCAAGTGTGGGAAGGTTGGTGATGCTGGGATCTGCAGCGTTGCCGAGACATGCTCCTCATCTCTCAAGGTCCTGAAGCTCTTAGACTGCTGCAATGTAGGTGAGAGATCCATTCTATCATTGGCCAACTCGTGTCATAAGCTTGAGACATTGGTGATCGGCGGATGCCGTCTTATCTCCGACGAGTCAATCAGGTCCTTAGCTCTATCCCGCTGCGAAAGCTTAAGAATTCTGAGAATGAATTGGTGCTCCAACATCACGGATTTGACACTAAGCCTCATATTCTCAAAATGTAGATATCTTATGGATCTTGATATTGGATCCTGTGATAAAATAACAGATTTAGGCTTTGAGGGACTAAAATTGGGAGATTTTGTGTCAGAGTTGAAGGTTCTGAAGGTCGGAAATTTGCCGAGGATTACGGTGGTGGCTATAGGGATCATATTACAGTTCTGTAAATCATTGAGTTATTTGGATCTAAGGTCATGCCAACATGTTGCAAAGCGTGTTTGTGAGGAAGCTGGTTTGCAGTTTCCTGAGTTCTGCAAGATCAATTTTGTTGGAAGCTTGTTAGAGAGTGATGTTGATTTATTATGTTGAAACTTTAGATAAGATGGCTGGTATTGTTACTGGATTTTAAGAAGGATTTGGTTGTTGTTTGTATTAATAATAATAGGTTTTTTTTAGGGGCTATTTTGTTTATATTCCGGGTAATTCAGTAAAAAGATTCTGTAAATTTGGTTCCCATAGTGGTACATTACTCACATAACACCCTAATTTTATGTATTTACATGTCGATCACCTAGACTTATATTTGTTTATAAACATGTCATCAAAATAATGTTTAAAAATTATAAAATTTTACATGTGTTTAATATATATAAAAAATTAATATAAAAAGGAATTAAAATAAATATTATTATTTAATTATTTCGAGTCAAAATGGGCCGAACACGAACGAACACTTTTTTGTTCGTCTTTGACTTGTTTATAAACAAGCTCAAAATAATTGTTCGTTTTTGACTCACTTGTTTAACGAATGAATCAAACACGAATTTCTTAACAAGCCAGACATGAGTTTCTTTGACAACCCAATGTAATTTTTTATGCATAGATTTATAATACAAGATATCATGAATGTAAATATCAACTGTTAGATGTATAAATCCATAAGAATTGTGTGAAATGTATATAGATTTCCCAAGAATTTATGTAGTGAGAAAACAATTATTTATTTATTGATCCTTGCTCCTTTATTTGCTAACTAATCATAAAAAAAAAGGTGACTTTAGGTGTCCAATCTATCTATTTTCGAGTTTGGGCCCCTTCTTTGTTAATTCCTCTCTCAAACTTGAAAAGCTATGATCCATTAATTATCTTTATGATTAGTTTCACTAATGTTTTTCTTAAACCATATAACAAAAAACAAAAGGGAGTTGGTTGTGAGATGAGACGTAGCATCAGTGTCCAAGATCCAATCCTCTGGTTTTGTTCTGGTTAAGAAAGTTGTGTCAGATTTGGGGGATGGGTAGGAGGTGAAATTATTTGCCAATACATTAGGGTTGTATGGCCATGTTTTCTGCATATTTGACATGTATTTCCAGGTGTAAGGAGAGGGGAAGTGCGGCCTCCCTTGCTAAATTTAGGATGATACTTTTGTTATAACATATTTACAGGAAATAGGGATTTATAGGATATAATTAAGATCAACACAAGTGTGGATTTAAGGGGAGGCATATGCCCCCTCCCAAATTTGAAGAGGTAGATTAGACGTGTGAATGACTCAAGTCGAGTTCAAGCCGCACCAAAATTAAGCTCGTACCTTGAGCTCAACTTGAGCTCGAGCTTGACTCATGCCAATTATGCCCGGCTCAAGCTAGGCTTGAAAGAGCAATTTTAAACTTGATTGTTATTAAGGAATTTTAAAAATTTATGAATTAGTTAAAAATTAATTTATTTCATGAAATTAAAATTAATTAATGTAATTCATCTGATCGGCCGACTCTCAAGCCGAGTCAAGCCAAGGTTGAGCTCGAGTACCAGAACTCGTGGCTCGATAAACTCGACTAACGAGCTCATTAACAAGTCGAGTTTAAGCCGACTTGGCTCACCTGCACCCCTAATGTGGATACACTCACCATTTTCATGATAATAATAAATTTGAGGAGCTACACTTTCAAAAGTACAATAAACAAATAGATCAATAAAAGAATAAATAAATTTACACAAACAATGTTAAGACGATGTTTGGTAGTATACTATTAATAAGATTTAGCCATAAATTTAGTTTAAATCAAGCCAAATACCAAAAAAAGTGAACATTAAACCTAATGTCCAATCAAATCAAATTTTCTCTTGTTTGGTCTATTTTTATGTACTTTCTTTCGATCTTTTTCTCGACGTAAATCCGATTACGAGACAAATTTATTCCGGAGCCGATCATGAATCTGAATTTAATAAATTTGATAAATCCTAGCTAACCTAAGTCAAAGTTACTCAACTGTGATTCATACTACTAATTTTGGCGGCGCTCAACCTCACCCACCACTTCTTCTTCGTCTTCTCAGAGTTCGAATCCTCGCTCGCCATCTTGTTTATAACAGCCTGAGTTTCTCTCAACTCTGCGCTGAAATCTTTCTTCCATGCCTCAAATGTCTGCTTCAACCTCTTCAGCTCTTTCTCCGGATCCAAATCTGCTTCTTCCTTCCCAGACTTAACCTCCACGGTTCTCTGTCCTATTTCTCCCGTCAAGCGGCCGATCGCATTGATCTCTGTTTCCTGCGAAGCGAACCGAGATCCGTTTTGGTTGCAGCTGTTGTCCAAACATTGGTCCACCGATGATGCGCCGGAGCTCCGGTCGTCATGGTTATCGGCGGTTATGGTTTCGCTTGCGACCGAGAGGCTGGATTGCAACGAAGAAATCTGTTTCTGCCACTCCTCCTCGAGGGATTTCATTTTTTCGTCGTGGTAGGTCTGACGGCGTTCGTACTGCAGGAGTCTCTGGTGGAGCTTCTCGTTCTCCTCTTCTTTTTCCCTCAGTGCGGTCTCAATCTTCAGAATCTTTCTCTGCAGTTCGGGGAGGACAGAGGCCTCGATCATCACCTGGTCAGATTCTGCAACCTGTGAGAAGTTTCAATTATCGTGTCAGGTCAGGAAGGTTTATTGGATCACCAAGCAATTCCCATGTATTTACATATCTAACATCTCAACTTCAATTTTTAAACATCTAAACATCTAAAAAAAGTTGTTTTGAGTATTTTTAAAAACAATTAAATATATTTTATTTTAATAAAAAATAAAAACAAAGTGTTTTGCATTACCTTTTCGCCATCAAATTGTTTCTGGAAGCCAACATCTCGAGAGCACCTTCTCACAAACCATCCACGTATAACTGAAACAAAAATAGAGCAGCAACCGGATGAAAGCGCTCTTCAAAATCCTGTTTCCCAAAGATAACCAGAAGTATAAAAAGGAGATGATTACCCGACTGCATAGTAATTGAAGCTTCAGTCATTCTGAGATACTTTTTCCTGCAGAGTCTGCCTTTAATATGTTTTTGTAAAACAATGGCAGCTCTATGCTTCCATAGTTTGGCGGAGTATGCCTGCCTAATTGTTTTGCCTCGGATGACTATAAAAAGAGCAAAATAATTGATGATTAAATTTTGAGAAAAATTATCAGAATGGTTCCCTTACCTTTTGTCAGGAGTCATTTTAATCTTGAAGTCAATAGAAGTGTCAATTTAGTCCCCAAACTCTTTTAGAGTGGGCTAAAATAGTTCTCTTTGAGGACTGTTTCAGTTTGTATGAAAAGTGTTTGAGGATTAATTTGACACTTTTATAGGCTCTGGGACTAAAATGAACTCATGTATCTAGTCAAGGGATTATTTGGCAATCTACCATTAAATTTTTAAAAAGATCCTAAAACAAAAATTATAGTGGATTGATAAATTACATGATTGCAGCATGACAATTCCCTTTTTACAATCCTGCACATGAACACGTGCTTGATGGCCTCTAAAACAGCTCTGAACTCTTAGAATACCATGCAGTGTACGATTCCTGGTGTCTTCAATGGCACCGATCTATTGGTATTTGGAAAAATAAATAATATAAACATATTAGATCCAATTATTAATGAGTAAATATTGAAAAAAGACTAACATAGAACACCTAAGGTTTATCCAGGATACTGATTTCTTTTGTCTAAGGGAATCATTTTTACAGTAAAAAACTATAAATCCATAAAATGTTAAGATGATTAGAAATCTTTTTATCATGTAAATTCAACTATGGATGTGCAGAAAAGCAACCAAATCAAGTCAATGGTAGAAATTGTGCTTCAGATTCTTAAAAAAATATACTAGTAGTTTTTGAAGGAACAGGCAAACCCTTCTAAATTATTACTAAAAAGTCAAATGGATCACCATATGTAATATTTAGTTAAAATTTCAGTCACATGTAAAGAATAAAAAGAAAATTACCGCGCCTAAAAAGTCAAATGGATCACCATATGTAATATTAGTTAAAATTTCAGTCACATGTAAAGAATAAAAATGAGCACATGGCTGGATTGATTATCTGAAGCATTGAAACTACCTGGCCTGTTCGGAAAAATAATTTGGTATATCCAACTTGATACATCTCAGGAAGGATGTTAAACTGATGAAGGATTGCCACTGACACACTGAGCGGATCTTGACTCGCAACATTTTCAAGAAGAAGGAAGCCATATCTAAGTCAAATTAAAACAAGTTAAACCATGTATTTGGAAATGAAAAGAAATTGGTTAAATATAGATTGAGTAAAGTGTCAAAATAGTTCCCTAACTATTTATATTGGGTAATTTTAGTCCCAGAGTTTATAAAAGTGATAGATTAATCGTAAATTGTTTTAATGAGTCAAAGTAGTTATCACTGGGACTATTGGACTAAATTGAAAATTGACATTTTTATAAACTCGGGGACGAAAATGGCTCCCTACAAAGAGTCAGGGGACTATTTTGACAAATTTCTCAAATCTCAAGTGTCTCAAGAACAAAATTGCACACCTTCTAGCAAACTTTGTGTGAGACATCTTTGTAGGATAGCCCGACTTGGATATGCGGACCACTTCGAGAACTCCGCAGCATTTAAGCTGGTGAAGTACAAGATCTTGTTCATACAATGCAGGAAGTTGTGATATGTTGGGCTTTATGCACCTTATGAAATGAGGAGTGGTGCTCTCAAGCTTATGCATTAGTTGAAACAGTTGTCCCTAAAAAAGGAGTACAAAGAGTCATCAAATTAAAGAACATCCAGCTTGCTATCCACATATCAAAACCATAAAAAACATTTTAACCACCTTTTCCTTATAGAAATCTACACAAGACCCAGCTTTTGGATTCCATGCCAAATGCTCAAATCCATATTTGTATTTTCTTAGAAGGATTGAGTTTTTCTTATGCCAAACTGACTTTTTAAAGTTTGTTTAAGAAAAAAATTGACAAGATAATGAGAATTGAGCCATCAACATATAATGATTTCATAGATAGCTTTACTTTCATAGCTATATAGTAACAATCATTGTAAATGAATGAACATAGTTGGAAGAATAGTTTCATATAATTGCAAAAGAGAAAAATGTCAAAATGATCCCTTTACTCTTTCTAGGTCATTTTAGTCCAAGAGTTTATAAAAGTCTCAAAATAGTCATCAGTGACTATTTTGACCCCCCATTAAAGCAGTCTAATGACTAATTTACACTTTTATAAACTTTGGGACTAAAATCACCCAATGTAAATAGTTAGAGGACTTTTGACACTTCTCTCAAACCTAAACCTAAAATTAGGAAGAAAAGAATAGAATAAGCTTCAAGGGTGCAAAACAATAAACTATTCACCTTAAACTTCTTTGTAACGCTAAGCTTTGGGGAATCCACTCCACTTAATCGGAAGGGACTATCGCCTTGTAGATCCAATCGGGCAAGAGCCTTTGATGCAAATATTTTAGGGAGATTACATGTACAAGAAGCTAAAAGTTGAATTGAGTCCAAATGTAACAGATCTCTGTTCTTCTCAAGAAAACCTGTGGAGTCATAAGCTACCTGCCACAGAATTAAATCACTAGCTGTTAAATTCAGCACCAAGGGATGAGTAAGGGAATAAGATCATGATGGCAACCTCCCCTGCATAGTGGCTAACACTGAAAGCTTTGCCTCTTTCTCCCTTGAAGCAAGGATTAGGATGAAGATGCTTTCTGAGCTTGTCTGCAAAAGTCAGATCAGTAGCGTTTGGAAAAGTAGTCTCTTCATCCAAAAGAGAAAGTAATCCTAATGGTTTCTGCATGAAAGCACACAAAAAATAATCATTATTGGTAATAAAGACATGGAAATAAAAACGATCCATAAATTTAATCATTATTGCAAGTAATAAAGACATGGAAATAAAAACGATCCATAAATTCTAGGGTGTTTACATCACACAATTCTTGTGTATTTACATATATCACACCTAAACTCCCATATTTACACACATGTTACTCATATATTTGATATCACATAAAAAAATAGCACTATTACCTTTTTGTATGTGAAATACACCTTTTGATGCATAGTTTTAAAGCACCAAAGTGTTATGTATGTAAATATGAAGTTTAGGGGTAGTTATCTACAGCAGTTGAGGATTCTGCCAGCAAAACTTAACAAATTTTATTTAGGACTTCATGAACTATGGATATAGAAAAACAAATACCCAACACCAAAGATAGTTGAATCAACTAAAGCATTGATAGATTAATTCCTGGTTCTGTTTAGCGAAATAACAGCAAATTAATAGTTTATGTAATGGCATTAAAAAATATACACAATTGCACAAATTAGCATTCAAACATTAGCTACAATGTAAGATTTTGGACAAACTGTACTGCTGCCAAACATTTAATGGGCACTTGCAGCAGAACAAGAATATATAACATGATTTAAGGTTAGGCTTCAAATTTGTTATAAATCCGTTTTATGAAAAAATTTACTTAAAAAATAAATGAATAATAATAAAAATATACTTATTATGTTGAAATATAAAATGAAATCACATAAAACAGAAATTTTTTAATTTCAGCATAATGCTCATCTAGGGGTGCATTTCAATGCTTAATTATGTAGGCTGGAATAAATAAGCTTCTAGTTCTATGAGTTCCAGGGCTCGAGAGACTAAGAGATCGACCAATTGAGAAGAAAGAATGATGGAGTCAATAGTTCAACTAGGTTTAAAATTGAGAGGAAGAATGTGAGTGAAATTGACGGAGAGGACATTGGTTCATTTTTCTTCTTCGTTTGAGTAATGTAAACCTCAACCTCTTTAACTTCTTTGTTAATTTTGTAATCTTTGACATATTAGAGTAATGAGTAAGATTAATTGATTAGAATGAGGGAACAAATATTTTGCGGATTTGAGAATATGAGAGATCTTTAGTTAAATGTCACAATCCTGTATAACAAGCAGATTTTAATGCTTCATTCTACACATATATCTTTTGCATGTTCTGTTTTCAAAAGTTGATAGCTCAACCATTAAGTACCATCTTCATATAATCATGACTTATGTTTTAGGTAAGCATATGAATTTGTAAATACAAGGAAATTATATTGAATTTATAATTAGCACATTGGATATATCTATGTTTATAAAATCATGAACTCACAGTTTAAGGATACGTATGATACATGTTATCATCATTGTAGCCTATTCAAAAGACATAATTATTTAGTTAAATGAGCAAGAAAAAATATATAGAAATATAAGTGAGTGGAGAACCACTCTTCAATTTTCTAGGAAGGGATGCTGGGTTTTATTACCTCAAGAAAAAGAATAATTGGGTTGATAAAACAAAGGAAAGAATGGTAGGTTGCGTTTTGATAACAGAGAAGTTCAAATATTTAGTTTGTGCATGTCTTATGCATTATATTATGTTTGGGTTATTAAAATGGATCAAAGATGAGTTGGTGTTGATTTCGATGAGTTAATCCATATGAAGTCATTAATGTGGGTGATTGCATTCTCTTTAAGTGTAGCGTTTCCTTCCTAATCATATAAGCAATGCTACTCAATGTCAACATTTCATAAATTATTTGATCATTTCAAAGTTATAGCTATGGTTGCAAAGCCATTTCATTAATACCCTATGAAATCTGATTTAATTTATGGTTAATGTCAATGATCTCTATGCCCTGTTACTACAACAATCAATATTTCATTTGTGATGTTGCTGCAATGATTTTTATTTCATATGCTATACTAATATAATGATTATGATTTCCAATGATATAGTATAGTGACAATTATGAAATTTAATCGTATGCCAATTCCTCCTAAATTATTGCATTTAATGTTGGTATGGCCTTATGTTACTAGTTGAGGATATTATTAGACTCTTATGTGTATATGGCTTTTAAAGAATAGTAGACATAGAGCTATATTCTATGACGCCAAAAAAGAAATAGGCCACATGAATATGGATAGAAATATGAGTTGCGCCCCACTTGCATTGATGGTAGATATATCAACAATATGGATATGATATTGAGCTGGGTATAGATCGTTTTACTTATTTGCCTTCACATAAATATGCTATGGAACATTATGAAATGATTCTCATGCTAATGAATTTCATTGTAGGCTGTGAATATGAATTATAAAGCTATACGGATTATATGGTCTTCTCTAAAAATGATTATGGCATCATAGCTTGTGTTAACTTCCATTAATATTCAACAGTATATGGTATTATGTTGATCGTTATGTTGAATGACAGGTTTAAGCCAATTTTTTGCATCTTTATAATATTGAAATACTAACCTTATGCATATTGCTTCCCTTACTATTGTGTTAGCTGTTATTAGAATTGTAATGTTGATGCAAATACAGAGGAAATTATGGAGGAGGATTTGGAAACCCAGACAAATCAGGAAGGACAATAAATCATAATTTCAAATTCAAAATTCAAATTAAAGTTTCAAATTATGGAGGAGGAATTGGAAACCTAGACAATTCAGGAAGGGCAAAAAATCCTAATTAAAGTTTCAAATTCAAATTAAAAATTAAAAATTCAAAATTTGAATTAAGAAGCTCAATTAAAGGCTCCTGTTTTAGAAGTTAATTAGAGTTTTTCTTTTTCATGTTATGTTTTCTTTTATTTGTTTTCTTAAAAGTAATTTTATAGTTTATTATCTTCCCAGTTGGGATAACGTTATGTTTTCTTTTATTTGTTTTCTTAAAAATAATTTTATAGTTTATTATCTTCCCAGTTGGGATAAGAGGTTTGTAATATGTTTCTATTATTTAAATGGAATAAGAAAAAAATGTGCATTGACTATTGCTACTAATTCATGAGTTCTTTTGAATTCCGTTGGTGAGTTTCCAACAGTGCAGAGGGATTCTGCTTTGCCCCTCTCTTGAGTCCACTCTCTTGAGTCCACCTCTCTTGAGTCCAATGAGATATTGAACTTAAGGGAAGGCATCAAATGTACCCACAGTGTGGGTTGGGTGCCTATTTGGACTCACTCATACAACCTATTTGTACCCTTTTCTCTTTAATATAATTGCACTTGGGCTTTTAATAATATCTCTTTCCACAAGTATTCTGGCAACAAAAAGTGATTAGGTGGAAAGTGAGTAAATCTAGCTTCATAGGTTCCCCAAGTATGACCCCAATAAAGTAAGGAACCTGATGATAAAAAAATGTAGCTCGAGACCGTTGACCTCATTTTTAGTGAGGTTTTCGTCTCCTACTCTTAGAACCCATAATCTAGCCTTATGAGTTCCTTATTGACCATCCTAGCGGACTAGTAATGTAGCCTTATGAGTTCCTTATTGACCATCCTGGCGGACTAGTAATGAAGTCCACCTCCCGTAGAACTTCGAGCCTCTTCTTGACTCATTTTTGAACATACATCGCATGAGTAGTCTCAAACACTCAACTCTTAGTTGCAAGGGCTAAAGACTAACATATAGAAGACCCGAAAATGAGTTCCCACAGGATCAGAAGACCTTAGGTAAACCCTTCGTGACTGGAGCACTTGCGGACACCACAATTCGACACTTTTTTTTTACCCGATCGTCCGCGAACTCGCCCTGACAACTCTGGATGACACAATGGACCACACGGATGCGTCTGAGACATCGATTTTATCCGGGAAGGACACCCATATTGCTAGGGTTACGCGCACACACAAATGATAAGAAATCGATGCATTTTTTTTTAGCGGCACGCGGGCCCGGGCTCAACCCAGGTTAGACCCGGGCTCAATTCGGGCTAAACATAGGCCAATTATCTCAGGTCGGGCTGACAACCCAATTACCCATCTAAATCCTTAATTAGATTTAATGAGGCCTTATTACTTTCTAATTAAGCTGTCTGTGTTAATGGAAAGTAATCAATTCCCCCGTTAATCAATTCCCCGCCGAATCACCTGTAACGGACACATTGAAAATTCGGATATACAAATCGAGCGCTAAATTCCCCGCCGAATCACCTGTAACAGACACATTGAAAATTCGGATATACAAATCGAGCGCTCCCTCTCCTTGGTGGCATTCGACTCCATCTTCCTCTCACGACGATATTCGGCTCCTCTCCTCGGCACCGAGTTTCGACCGCTCAATCTCGCACGCCTCTCCTCTGCATCGGAGCTCCCATTCGCCTCTTCCACTTTAGTCACCTACTGGCCTCCTCTCTTCCCCGAGTCAAACAAACGCTCGTTCGACCTCGCCTGCTTCCCCTCTCCCGATCGCCTCTACCGAGGTCACTCGACTTCCCTCCTCCACACCAAATCCCTCAGCTGCCCCGCATTCGACTCCATCTTCCTATCTCGCTCGAAACCCTCGCCTCCCCTCCTCGACAGAAGACCGAAATCCTCGCCTCACCTGCTCGCCCGACCTGCTCTCTAATAAATCCCGCACGGCTGCTCTTCCCGTGGCTTCTCTCGGCTTGCAAGAAAATACCCATTCTCTGCTGTCACTTAACTTAAACCAAAAAAAAATCTGCTCCAAACTCCCCTCGCCGAAGCTCCAACTGCCGGAAAAGAGACAACAACTGATTGCGGCTTACAAAGGCAACTGAAATCTCTTTGGCTGCTCCTACCCAAAATCATCAAGAAAAGTAATCCTCTTCTCTCAAATTCCTTTGAGCGTTTCGGAATCTTAATTTCCATAACTCTATCTTTTAACGAGGGTATTTACTTTAATCCTGGGTTTAGGCAAGACACAGAAGAAACTAAATTGGTTGAATTTGAAGCTGTTAGTTTTACTTTTTTAAGCAGGATCAAGATAGTTTACGCGCATTT